AGAAAGTACTCGACCGATCGCTATTGAAATGGAAAGTTTAAGTACCACAATGCTGATTCGTCCTTTCTCCTGCACTTTCAGATCCAAGCGGCGGCGAACCTGTTGCTGGAGAGCAAAATGTTCTACGTGCCGTTCGTGCTCAACTCCGCAGAGATCAGATAGTACATGGCCCAGCAGGGCGTATAGTTCTCGATGTACGAGACCAGCGCCCCGCGACCGCGCCGCGCCACCGTCTTATGATCGCCCCAGACTGGAGACCGCGGTCTCGGCCTCACCCGCCACTGGGGAACGGGCGCGCCGCGGACTGAGACCACGTCTGATCTCGAGACCTTAAATAAATAAATTTGCGGACACACAGGTGACGCAGTGACTAAATAATGAAAGACAGTGTTCACAAGTGAGACAGTGCGTTATACCTTTGTTGAGTCGATGTGTGTATTGGTTTATTGTTTATTAGAGGAATTAAAACGTCCCAATCGACAGACTGATTTATGATTAAACTAGCTATTATTTTATAGATAACCAGGGACTTGAATGCGTGTTTTATACGTGGTAGTGTATACTACTTAGTGTTATTATAAATAGATTAAATATATAATTATGTTATTATATAACTTTTTTCGTCAATCGGAGAATCGCATAATATATTATTTCTGTAAATATAGAGTAACCTTAACGGTGTAGCGTATAAGGAGTTGTTTTTTTTAAACAGAATTGTTTCTTGTAAATGAAATATTGCTGTTTTAGTTTGCATTTTATACTGTCTAGTGTAAGAGCCGTAGGGTAATTGCTGGGTGTGTAATATTGATTCTTTTATTTCTTATTTAATTTTATGATGATTTTGTTCTTAATGTAAGTAGCACTAAGTACCTACTCTCAGTGTTTACCAAGACTGCTTGTATACAACTATACTGTTTATACACTAACATACGTTTGGCGCGGGTTGTACCGCGTTTTCTTTATAGTCACAACTTTTGCATTTTTATTGCCAATATTTCTTGTAACACATGCGCAAGTTCTGTGCTCTGAGCGATACACTTCTCTTTGTTCTGGTCTAAATAGATATGTAAGGGGCTGTTGAGGACTTTTTAAGAAGGTACCGTGATGATCGCCGCGCGCCGCTTTCGGAGTACCGCGGCGATTTCCACGCCGTTTCCTTCTCATTCTTTGGACATTCAATATTATATCGCTTCCATTGATGTGTTCAAGTTGTAATGCATGCTCAAATCTTTAAAACTATAAATTCAGATTCATGTTTCATTTCATAGCTACCACTTGTTTTTCTCCACATACCATTTTTCACAAAGAGTAACGAGCATCATACGACAGTGTAATACCAGAAATAAAGTTTATGCGGACCTTAATTGTACCCACCGGAAAATTCTTATTAATTGGTCAGTTGTCAATTATAACACAGTCGTCTGTAAAATTATATACATTTCTTATATCAATGTTTAGACAATACTTGTGTTTGAATGAGACAAAGTAAAGATGTGATTCGAAGACCTTTGATACGAAGTTGTAATTTTTTTATCTGTATAGCTTGCAGTCAACTGGAATAAAGTTGTTATAACATACAAAACAAACGCTAAAACATAAAAGTAAAATGCATACTTAAAACGAAACTTTACTTCCGTCAACTAAGATCGCAATAAAAGTAAATATCCGAGGTACGAATAGGAACTTTCAAAATGAAATTTGTACGATAATTTAAATAAAAACTTAATCTACGTGTTTGATAACGATTTGTGGTTAAAATGTAAATTTTACAGACAATAAATTATAAATAAAATGTAATTGTAATTTTACACTTTTTTAACAATGTAAAATGGGCCTTTTAATAAACGGTCGCCATCTTTAATAATGTATGAAGTAATTATAATACCGATGGATATCAGTGTCAGTCTTTATTCAAGCCAGAAGCATTGTAAAGCGATCCATATTGTGCTCCAAACCATTGTTATATCATCCATAAGTTTCTGTAACCATTCATTGACTAATTTCTCATTCATTGTTCATTTGTATATGAAGTACTGTTGCATTCCCTTAGTTTCCATTTACATCTTTACTAATCTCTCCAACATCAAAAGGGTCATAGAAATAACAGATAAAACTAAAAAAAACTAAAGAAAACTGTTTTATAAGTATTACTATAAACATAATTGACTAAATGTTTTTCGTTACTATTCTAACCTAAAAGTTATTGTAATCTTTTGAAGTGTCATTTACAAATATCAATACGGTGATCCCGCTAATTACGTGTAAGTTGTATTTCTGTGACTCTAAAATATCATTAACTTCATATTTGTCGCATTATTCATAAAGATTTACTAACGTTTAGTCGTAATTTTAAACAGATAAATAAAATAAGGAGCTCTTTTGACTAATTGTTCTTAAAAATAGTGTTAATTTCCCGCGACACTGTCAGACATCACTGCCTGTATTTTTAAAGTTATTGCCGTTATCGTTAATTAAAATGTTCGTATTAATCGTTAATATTATGAAATTGTAATAAACGTTCCAGCAACGGTGAACAGTTACCATTAGATATAGGTCGGCAGAAATACGCCGCGTATAAATTAAGTAAAAAAAAACCAAAAAGTTCGTTCTAGGGACTTAGGTTCTAGGTAAATTCCTTTCCGCGTTTTGTCTGTATGGTTTAACTCTTCAAACTAGTGTAATTAAATTGCCCCAATTATTATTACTTCAGCGAATTTTTATACAAAGTCCAATTTCTACATTTCGAAAACAATTAATAAATGACCAACAATAAAATAAATATTCGAGATGTAAAGTATTATTTACATAAAGCAATCGGACTTGTCAATTTCTTAAATTCTCTAATGCCGAATTATAATTCAAATTACTTTTTTTTCAGTTACAGATTTTGTGTAATTTAATTTACTTATAAAAAAACTGGAAGCACATAAAACACAACGTTTGTAAATGTTATAAATAACGCTTCATTTCCTTAGTCGGGTAAACATCATAAGTTACATAAACTATGTGGTCAATTGATTTTACAAATATTATGTAATTAGAGAATCCTGTTACCTGAACGTGCGAGAAGCGTCCGTTCCTCAACGTGTTACCATTAGTTAAGTCTTAGTGGGTATGTGTTTTGTACATTGTTATTATTAGATTTCGAATACAACCAGTTACGATACTGCCATCAAATGCCTAAATAGTTTTTCGATTAATTTCGTTATATACTTTAATTACGTTTTTCTATTAAGTTAATGACATTCGCGAAATTATTAGTTAAATGTGATAAAAGAACAGTGATAATATATTGGGAATACATGCGCGAATTGTCTACGACCCAGACAGTAGTGCACGGTTCTAACGCCTGGTCTACGACGGGCCCACGTCTCGTAGCCGCCGGTACGGCTACACGCCGGCTTTACACTCGCGCGAGCTTTTAACAACAGAACCCTCCCGTAAATTGGGTAACTACATATATTTATTTATTCAATTTTAACTAACTTAAATTATAATTAATTAGTTCTTAAATATAACGCCATCAGAACGACGGTGGTAAATCTAAAGTCTGAGGTAAAGATGCCTTCATAGATTTTTAAACATTGTAATGAGGGAAATCGTAAAGATAACTATAGTCGCAAATCGTGCATCATTCTACTAAATATGTTAACGGTATGTTTAAGTAATATTGACACTTATTTTGTTAGTAACCTAGCTTAAAGATAAGATGAAACTAACGGCAGTGTATCAGAGAGGAGTTAGATGTAAGGATGTTATTGGCGTTGTACAAAGGATAGTATTGTTAATAAATAAACGATGAAATTGGCGCATTACTGTCGAGTACCTAATTAGATTAGTACACGAGCCCCCAGAGGCTATACATTTTGTCAAATATAAATGTAAATACAAAATTATACACGACGCATATTCACTTTTCATGTCTCTACCGAGTTATTAGGAGCCATAACACCACTTGGACTAACAGTAATAAAATCATAACGAGCTTTCTCAGATACTTTTTATTTTCATTGGACAGATTATATAATTTCACTATACTTTCCTTTAAAATTTATTTTTTTCTGTAATAGAAGTTGACGAGTCAATAATTTCGAATTTATATTTATATAATACAGTGTAAAAACAACATATACATCATCGATTAGTAATGACACAGCAAGCTTTGTATAAACCATACATACTTATAATAGAAGTCGGAACCTTTATTAATGAATCACATAACTTGTTGCGAAGTTGACTAAGAGTTAAGATCTAAATAATATGGCGAAAATATTTTGACTGATATAAATAATTAGTAATGTAAACGTAATGATGTTAATATATTTATAAGAATGTAACAAAAAAAAACTTAATGCATTTCTCACTTTCTTTACAGTCCATAAGAGAATAAATTAATTACGTCTAAGATATTGTGACGAAATATTTTCACATTCATAAGTAAGGTAAGGTTTGTTGTGTATAATAATATCGTTTCGTGTACTTTTGTGTAAAAGAAAGTTTGAAATTTGTGTACATTAGACAATGTAATTAGTTACAGTTTAACAAGTGTAAAGCTGTAAGAGAATATATATTTGGAAACGTTGAGTGTTTGTTGTATGTAACTACATGTCGCAGAGGGACTTTTCAACCCTAAGTATGCATACTATAATATACATAATAAATATCTATTTGACGAGTTATACATCGTTTATTAAAATAATTGTGTTTTCTGTTACGGTTACACAAACAAACACGTTTCGCTTTTTAATGATTTTATCATTTCAGTCCGTTCTATGGTGTAGGCCTTTGTCAACTGTAATAAATATGCAACTTAAGTATGACACCCACTTTTATAGCTCCACAATCTCACTGAAAGTGCCACTGAGAAACGCACGTATATATTAGCTGCCATTATGTCAATAATCAGAGTTCGATGTGGTTGAGTGTGCTGTATCTCACATATTTATATAGTTGGGCTCGCTCAATATCAAGACTTATCGCTTTCAGACTTAGCTAGTACGTTTAAGTATTACGATACCTTAGGGTTCTATGTTTACGTGTAGCAAGTCACATTAGTTGCTGTTCGATGTATCTTTCTTGATGGTTAAAAGGCTATTATTATAATATATTTCGACCAAATTAAGGATCATATTGAGTGTATGAAGTGTTTCGAGAAGTTGTGACTCGTCCCTTTCGAGTGGTGCGCCGGCTGTTAGTCAAGCGATCGTGTTCTGGTTTGCCAAGAGGAGTTACCTACAGTTGTGTTTAGTTAGCGATGCATAACGTGTTTGTACTTTAATTTGTTTTTTAGTTGTACTCTTGGAAATCAATGGTTAATAACTTAAGAAAATAAAATGTATGTGAAATATTTACTTTGTTTTAATTGCCTTAGTAACCATTATTTATTCTAACACGAAAGACATCATCATATCATCAATACAGTTATAGATGTTACTGATGTTGATGAAATGTAAGAATTTTAACTCAAATTAATGCTATTTTGGCCTGAACTCCAGTGTTTAATAAGTGCATGGTGCGAAAGGCGCGTGTATATGATGACTTGGCGCTTGTAATATAAAAATTGCCAATTAACAATAAAGTCGAATAATCGACTAACCAGACGAAGATAAAAACAATCAGTCATATTTTACGATTGTACAAACCTATTGATAACTCAGTTTTTATCAATAGGCTTAATATTTTTAATCTACAGCTTTTCCGCAAAAAATATATTCTCTGTGCTTGGATTTCTTTTTTGTCTGTATATATTTTTACTCTACTTTTTGTTGCTCTTTGATGAACCCCTTTCTGTCAAATAACCGCAACCGCCACATGTCACAATTTAGTTTTTCTTGATTTTTCTGTAATTATTCATTTTAATATTTGTAAAAATGGTAAGGCTCGAAAGTTGTATAGCTAATTATTATTGTTTTGTAAATTACCAAATCTTACACCATTAAAATAATAGTAAATACGTGATGACATTTAACATTACAAGTGATTTCGTCCTCTGTATTTTTCAGAAACCTCTTATGCTACAAGGGCACGAGCGTGCCATTACGCAGATCAAGTATAACCGTGAAGGTGACTTGCTATTTTCCGCTGCGAAAGATGCAAAGCCCAACGTGTGGTGGTCTTTAAACGGTGAACGTTTGGGCACTTTCAATGGCCATGGTGGTGTCGTATGGTGTCTCGATGTTGACTGGCAGACGATTAACCTTATTACCGGTGGCGGTGACAGCTCTTGCAGGTGTGTAGCATTTTATATCACGTTTTTATTGCATCTCGAAATTCTAGAAGTATGTTTCTTACACTCTAGTTTATTTTCTGTTACCCTTAATATCTATTGTCCGAAGTTTTATTTGTTATTAGTATCATAGGTAGTTTGTACCATTTGATTAAATTAAATCAAGTCGCTTCAACATCAAATCATTGCATCATTGTGTTTTATCATACCCTACCCATGTTATAAATTATGCATCCAAGTATAATTTTCTTCAATTTATACTTTTAATGTTAATTTCAGATTGTGGGACTTAGAAACTGGCAAAAACATTGCAACTATAAAAACAAATTCATCAGTAAGAACATGTAACTTCAGTTATAGTGCATACCAAGCTGCCTACACCACTGACAAAGCAATGGGGCATCCTTGCGAGGTATCTTACTGGTATTATAAATTTGAAAGTTTAGATGGACATTTGTTATTTTGTAGCCTTAACTGCTGAACAGATCTCAATGAAATTAGGCATTAATGTAGAGTATAGTCTGGAAAACCCGTAGGCGGACAAAATTTAGTGTTTGTCAATTGTTTATAAATTGAAATTTACCACTCGTACATGTGCAATACTCTGACTAAAGTATTTACTCACTATACAGGACTATCATTTAATTATTCAATTAATCTGTAAGATAGGTGTTGTCAGTGTACTTGTCATGAATCTAAGTGTGTCACATTGTGAACCCTTAATTCAATAATATCCAGTGTGACGACAATTAATTAACAAATTTCTACCAAACAAGTTTAGAGAACATACATGAGATTTTAATCTATTGTGTTAGTAACAGAAGATATTTTTTTGCTACAAAAAACTCAGTCTAATTAAGGGTTAAGTACATCTGCTTAATTAAAGTCAAAACAGCAACTGTACCATTTGTTAAGCTGCAATACTTATGCATTTTGGGTATACCAGAAATTATGGTGACATAAAAATTATACTTTAAATCTTATGGAAATCATAATTGATATATTTGCATATAACAGTAGCATTTCTCTTAGTGAGATCTCATTTTAAAAATTCATATGAATTTAATGCTTTACAGGTTTTCATAATTGACACTAGAACTGTTGATGACTCTATTTCGACCCAGTCTCCGATCTTGAAGTGGGAAATTACTGACTCAAAAGTCACATCAATGGTTTGGGGAACTTTAGATGAAACTATCATTACTGGTCATGAAGCAGGTGATCTGATTCAATGGGACTTAAGAGTAAGTATTGACATACTTTAATGTTGCTCTACCTAATCTAATATTCTTTCTCTAATTGACTTTAATTTGTATACTTTGTTTATAGTTCTTCTTTTGCTTATTAGTTTGATATTGTTTTGCAAAGGTATGTTTCTAATAAGTCCCTCCTGCTGTTAAAACCTAAAAAGTTTGAATCTTGAAGACTATCTTATGTAAAGTTACTTGAAAACGTTAGGCTAGTTCAGGCTTTTCATAGATGTATAAGTACACTAGATTCATTAACATTCTAGATGTTCAAGTCTTAATCATTTTACATTTTGTTTACAGACAGGTAAAAAGGTTCATTCAATCAAGGAGCATAACCATCAAATCAACGACATGCAGCTCTCCCGTGACGGAACTATGTTCATCACAGCCTCTAAAGACCAGACAGCAAAACTGTTTGACACCAGTTCCCTAGAACTTCTCAAGGAATATAAAACTGAGCGTCCAGTAAATTCCGCTGCATTAAGCCCTATTCTGGATCACGTAGTACTCGGAGGAGGTCAAGATGCTATGGAAGTGACAACCACATCAACTAGACAGGGCAAATTCGATGCCCGTTTCTTCCATTTAGTGTTTGAAGAAGAATTTGGACGTGTTAAAGGTCACTTTGGACCTATCAACAGTTTAGCATTCCACCCTGATGGTAAAAGTTACGCGTCTGGTGGTGAAGATGGTTACGTACGTGTGCAGAGCTTCGATCAATCTTATTTTGATTATACATTCGATTACAACAGAGATTAACAAATATCTAGTATTGTATTTTGTATTGTCATAAAACTTGTCTAAAGTATAGATCATTTTTAGTTTGAGCCCTGTTTTTGTATTATTATTGAAAAGAAACATTCACAATTTACTAATAAATTACATACTTTAGACATAGACTTTATTTCATTTACTTGGAATGCCTAAACTGATCAATCCCTAATTGAAAATAAAGAGAATATGATAGGATACATTTCTTTTATTGTCAAGGTGGCAAATGAGCAAGCAGCCACCTGAATCTGCCAAAATGGCCAAGTGACGGCTGTCCACACATTTACTACGCTTAATCGACGTAGTTGGAATCGCACATAAAGAGTATGTTTTCTCTTCCTATGTGTCTCTTCCATTGTCAAATTCACGTCCCCTTCCCATCCTTTCCTTATGAGAAAAAGCGTGGGAAGGAAAAGGGTTTAAAGTTGGGCCTCTGGCACCACACTCATCAGACAAAACTCGGGGTTACACCGGCGTGCCAACTCATTCCTGCAATGAAGACAGCCTGATTAGAATTGGAAACAATACTTCAATATTATGTCCTCATTTATTTTACGTTGCGTTATCTTAAAAGGCCATATAATAAGCACCATGTATTGATAGAGATTTTTTATTTCGTATTGGTAAAATAAAACTTCGTTTTAAATATCCAACAATGTTTTGTACAAAATAATCTAAACAATAGTGTGGATTGCGCTTAACATATGATTAATCTTATACATAAGTTACAAAAAGTATGGAGTTGTATTTTGTAGAGGCACTTCTCTTTCACTATCTGGCACTGCATGGAATATTTTAGCATTTCTGTCATTTACGCTTAGAAATTCCATTATGGAAGCAACATTCCCACAACGGTAGCAATAATTTGGCGCTGACCAAATTGTAACCAGTCTTTTGTCAAACATATATTTGTATCCTGAAAAACAAAACACATTTTCATTTTTAATAATCCCACATTTCATTTTCAAATTTCATGTAAAATAAAGTATTAACATAAACAAACCTTCGTTAACAAGTTGATGTGCTCTGCAAATTAAATTCAAATTATTGTAGTTCATAAAGAGTTCTGTTACACTACTTCCAAACAACCATCCTGCGCCTCTTGGACTCAGTGACCTGTAATTAATTGTAATAAATTATATATAATATGAAATAATCCTTACAAAAATTTTTACCTTGACTGTTAACCAAATAAACTTACCACATTTCAATATCAGCAGGATCCGACCAAAGCAGATCACAGAATGCTCCTTTATGTGGAATCTGTTGATTTCTATCTATGCATCGGATTTGATCTAACATTGATATCTCAGGTGACAATCCACCATGAACACATAGAACAGTCTCATCTATTAGCTGAAAACCAATAGAATTTGTTAGTACAAAAAAGACATGACAAATTAATGATTCCAAGTGATATTTGTACAGTCATGGCTTTTCATAGTGTTCCACTTACAAAAAAATTACCTTATTTCATGCAAAGATAAACTCTGCTTCATCTTACAAATAACCAAAATGTAGCAGTGAGTTGCACTAACAACAGGACAATAATAAACAGCAATTAGCTGAATTACTATTGAATAATATTTATTCATAGAAACATTTAAAAGTATGGACAAAACATTGGACAATAGCTTTTACGATAGAACATTGCCAGATTCCCTGATAGTACAAATGCAAAAGGTAACAGGATCATATTTGATCACTTTTCTACTCTAAATGTGTGTGTAACATAATTTTATTAATACATACCGCAGCTACTGTAAGGAGATCAAAAACTCTGCAGCAGTCTTTCCATGCATTTGCATTGCCATACTTATTAAGACACTCATCATAGAAACCATATACTTTTGTTATCTGACAGGTTTCATGGTTACCTCTAAGTAGAACTATCCTGTAGAATAATAATGATTTTTTACACTGCAAGGTGTCACATTTGACTGTTCAGACTACTGACTAATTGATTTCCATTGGGTTGATTGGTAGGCTAATTGGCGCATTGGGAAACACCCAAACTACACTTGTTAACTATTTTTATAGTGACTAGAGTGGGACATTTGAAATAAATCAATAATCACAATTTCCATTTGATTTTTTTTTTGTATTGAAATTGCAGTGTCTACTTTCTTTCTTTTGAGGTGTGCAAGTAACTTCATTTTATCACAAACATAATACAAATATCTTATCTTATTTTATGATTAACGAGTGTTTTTCACACATTTTCTTTCATGTCACTAGTTGTGAAGACATGTATTTATTATTTTAAAGCACAGTGAAAGTATTTTAATTTCATAAAGAAAAAAATGTTTATTACCTTACATTGATAGTCTAATGCAAAACCGAATAAAAGAAATTAAACATAGCATATTACTTGTTACTATCATACTCGTTTTAGTTGAAAACAGTCTGTATAAAATGCAGTAGTATACATGAGTATCAGAAAATCAGTAAAAAGATATCAAATTTATACCTGTCTGGATATCTTGCTTTTAAAGCCATTAACAATGTTAAAGTCTCCAAACTGTAATAGCCCCGATCTACATAATCTCCCATAAATATATACTTAGTTTGTGGCACTTGACCTCCTATATGAAATAATTCTTCTAAGTCATAAAACTGAAAAATATATCAAATTAAATATGGACACAAATATTACTCTGATAAAGACATCATTTATAGAGGCATGTCTGGCTCAAACCATTGATAACGAATCCTTTTAAAGATGTTGACCTAATTAATTAATAAATTTTAGAAACAAGTTTCTATAAAAACTCAGCTTTGCATTACCTGACCATGAATATCGCCACAAACAGTGACGGGCGTCTGCACCGGTTGAACATTCGGTTCCTCAAATAACAAATCACACACAATATTGCACAATTCCCGCAAATCATCTTCTGGAAGGTATTTACACTTTTTTGCTATTTCTATCCACTTGTCTACGTCGCTCATTTTCTGGTATTTGTTAAAATATATAATTCTCTAAAATTAAAGTTGCAACAAAATCGACTTCGTGAGAACCTGCTGACAGATAGATGACAGGTGACAGGAAGCGACGATAAAATACGTCAATTTGACAGTTACAGATTATAAAGTTGGTGTGGGAACGTGAAGTGGCTATTAATATAAACTTGTCTCCGCTGCGCGAAAGTAGTTTTGTTCCTTAACTGATAAATAATTTACTACCATATAAATTCTATTTTATTTAGTATATTGAACAGTATTAATGTATCTATTTTCATTTTTAATTGTCCATTAAGCAAGTACCACTATGCTGACTGGGCTGTGGCTTCCATGATCACCCTTGTCTGGACAGATTTCTTTTTCAATGATCTCATTAATCAACAGGAACATACTGCATATACAGCATATGTAATACGAATAATAAGGAAAAATAACAACGCAATAAGAGGCAAAAGTTTTTTATTTATTATGTAAACAAACATGCAAATACATTTTCTAATGGTATTACATATTGTTACTTGTGTGTGGTGCTGTTGATATGCTGCGGTGAATGGGTTAAATAATATTTAAGCTACTACTAAAAGTTATTGAAAAATTGAAGAAAGAACAGATACATGGGACGGATCAAATGCTTTTTGACAGAATGTATACAAAAACATAAAATAGATATAACATGTTACATTTCAAAACGTCCTACGCACTAATGTTATTGTGATAATAACAACACTTTTTGACTTGGTACTGAGATTTCAAATATCTTAATAGCTTGGAATTTCGAAAGAGTCCATTCACACAACACAATTTAAGGTATGTTGGGGCGTAAAGTGATATTGGGGTGCTTACCTTGCACCTTGCAGAAAACTTTGGGCCACCAAGACATTTGAAAAGACAGTCATGATGCATTGTTTAATTACTAAAAACATTTTGCTACCCTTAATAACTAGCCATTTTCTTTCGATTGAAAATTGAACGAGAAAGAAAGCTCGGCTCATTTATAGCAATTTTATCACTAATCATGAAGTAGCCAAGGCATCATTAAATCACAGAATGCTATTTTCGAGATATAAGCGTTGTTTAACATAATAATCGACATTACAGTGATTTCTATATCACAAAAAAATAAACAACTGAAACAAAACAATAATAATACAATATTTAAAACACAATTTAATAATA